GGAAGGTGGCCTGAGAGTGGCTGCAGGGGACAGGGCCTACAAGTGTCTCCCAGTTGCCACCAGCGGTCTTAGGCACCTTTCTTCTTTCTGCTCAAGATAAAGGGTGGGGGCTTCTCATTTCCATCAAGGAGAGCTGCTCCCCTTTATTGCCAGAGCAGGGGGTCCTGGCCAGGACAGCAGGGGACTGGACCGGCAATGCCAGGAGAGAATACTGAACTCCATCTGCTTAAAGGATGAAAATGGCAGATGTTAAATTCTTAGGTGGGGTGCAGGGAAGGTTCTCTTGCCACATTTTGTCACAGGTAGAGGGGATGGGATGGGAGACAGCTCTTAATCACAGGTCCTAGGATACCTGGTTCATTTCCTTCAGGGGGGAAATTGCTGGCCTTCTAGGGTGATTCAAAGCTTGGGAGAGACTATGGTTGATCCTGTGGGTAGGCAAGAAGGCCATTCCCCGCCCTCTTCTCCACTGCCCCCAGGTCTCAGGGTCTCAGCTTCTAATCAAGTTAGTTTGTCAAGCAATTTCCTCCATAATAAAAATGGACTCCAATAACTTTCTAAAAGCTAACATTGACAGAGCTATTTATATATGCTCAGCACTCTTGAAGAATTTTACATGCATCATCTCATTTAATGCTCCAAGCAATGCTTACAAGTGGGTATTAGTATGGCTCCCATTTTACAGACAGAAAGGCTAAGTTCTGTTCTGAAAATTTTACTTATATCAGCTCTTACACGCCAGACAGATCTGTGCAACTGTGGATTTGAGGCTGGCACAGCAAGGAAACAGTCACCAGGATCCCTCCATCATCCATGTTGGTGGCTTCTATTCCCAAGAACAGCCATGGACATGTTCTGGCACAGCCAAGGGTCCACAGGCCAATCAGTGTAGTAACTGGTGGTGTTGTTATTGGTTAATTTCCAAACTATTTTCTTGCCCTCCTGGAGAACCTGTAAGCTCCTGACCGTCTTTAGTAAATTTGCTTTCAGTAAAAGTTGGATTCCGTGGTTGCAGTGAGATCGCTAGGTGGTGTGACTTATTGAGGTACCTGATACAATGAATGTGAGTTTCCTTTTCTTGACAGGTCTGCATTTTGTATCAAGCTTTTAAATGTTTTTGACCTGCTAGTACACTAAATTACCATGTCATTTGCTAATAACCACACATTTTGCAACATCATTACATCACATCCTCTAAGGCTACGGGTGAATTTTCTTAACAGGAAACAAAGAGGGATCAGTGTGTGATTCTCAGCCTGAGACTCTTACTAGAAGAGCAAAACAATAATCTTCCTTCTTTGGTGTCTCAAAGGAAAAAGGAGTGAAGATTTCCAGGTGTCCAACAGGGTGCAACTCTGGACTCCTCTCAACATCCACTCCTACCTCCCTCTGATTCTGTGGGCAGGCAAGAAGGCCATTTTGACTCACTCCACCTTGGGGCAGGGGTGGGTGGGAGATCCTCTGGTCTTTGGCACTGTATTAATGGTTTAATATGTTCACTAGTGCTTCCTCTAAGCCCAGAAGCAACTGTTTTTAAAAGAAGAATTGCATGAAGTTGTATTATTTTTCTATTATTTGTATAATTCTTTTTGTGTGTTTTTAATATATTCAAGACTAGAGAGTCACAAGTGTTAATGAACTAGCCCAGTGGGTCATCCGCCCCTTGGTTATGTGGTTCTCCCCACCTTGTGCTACTTGCATTCTGAGCAGGGAATGAGAAGGGCAGTGTATCTACCGAATCAAGTTCAAGGGTGCTCTGTCAGGAAGCAGTTCAAAGCCTTCTGTGTTTTGTGCGTGGGCTGAGGGCCAGCTAACACTACTTCTCAGGTCAGCCCCCTACTACTGAGTTCTTGATGGACTGTTAAAAATTACATATTAAAATGATGACTCAGTAGTAAATTCTTTGCTTTTAAAAACGGTAGAAAACATTTAGTTTAAAACTGCTTTTATAGAACACCTTTAAAGTTACATAGTCCTTTAAGTGTACTTCACCATTTTACTTTAAATATTTTTTTATTTTTCCTACATATAAATTATCCAGTGTGTGTAACTACTTGCCATTTAAAAACCAACCAAAACAATATCCTGTGCAGTCCAACTGAGATACTCAAGCTACAGATTTAGGGATTGTTGTTAGGAGAAATGGGCGCCCAAGAAGTCAGTCAACACCGCAGTACTAGGGACTATCCTTTGCAACAGAAAATGCGTAGCCCAGGGTTGAGCTGGTTTCAAACAACACTAAGAGGCACAAGGAGCTGCCAAGACAGAGCCAATGAAGTAACATGTTTTGCCAAATTATTTGATAGCTTTGTTAGTCAGTTATATAAGAATGCTGAATGCTGTAATTACTGGGCACTGACAGACACTGTTCTTGTAACAGGGCATGCACAGAAGTGCACGCGCGTACACACACACACACACACACACACATTCTCATGTGCTTACCTGTTCTTGTAATTATTCAGCCTCAAGTATTCAGCATCAAATTTCAGAAAGGTATTTGAAAGTGTGCCTTAAACATTATAAGGTTGGGAACCATCCCAGCCTTAGGAAGTCAGAAAAGTGACATTCTGGCATAGGTCATTTTGACCGCCTTGGGGTAACTATGAAGGTGGGTACAAGGAGGGATGGTAAGAAAATTTCCTAGCTCAAACAATAATGGAGTATGAAGACAGGTGATAACACGTTTATGAGTATAACAGGGAGTTTACAAGCAACCAGTGATCCAGCTGTCACTTATAAGAAGAGGAATGTGAGGCATCTATTTGCAGGAGCAGGTCTTCAGGTCTGGAGATGGCTGCTTCGTCAACAGCAAAGAAACTCAAAGTCAGAATTGCAGGGAGTGAGAAAAGCAGCAGGGATGGGGCACCTGGGTAATGAAAATACAGATACGAAAGGTGGTGAGAGGAACGATACCCAGCCCTTGAGCCACCTCTGTAGCTCCCCAGTGCCCTCGGCAACTCTGTGTGAAGACCTTGTGGCCAGCTTCCTCTGAGGTCTCCATTGGCTCTGAACTTGACCACTAGTGTGGCTCTTCTTAAGGGACGTCTCATAAATTGGTTTCTACAGTACTCATGTCATCTTTGGAAGGAGATGTGAAGGAGAATATCTTTCTGACACAGGCAGCCACTTCAAGGTTGTGCTGGTGAACAATGACTCTAGTAAGTCCACAAATCAGACACCAGACTTGATGCTGTTTTCAACAAATCAGGCGAATTACTTAACGGTTTCTCAATTTTTTTTCAAGTTGTCTCAATTTAGTTTATTAATTCTGATTCATTACATATATTTTTAAAAAATTCAAAAATCTCCAGATGTTGACATTAATGTCTGGTTGATTGGAAAGGACCTGCTTCTGAAGCCCTTCTGCAGGTGGGGCTCATTGAAACTTGGAGCAAGTCTGACTCTCAGTCAGAACTGGTTCCAAACACCACATTCCTGTCCAGTCAAGACCAACTTCCCATTGAGGACATGCCTATGTGGAGAGTGGGCTCTTGAAGACTGCACTGACCACAGTGGCTGTAGCTGCAAGGACTCATGAAGTAAACAGGATTATCCACTAGGGGGAGGCAGAGAGCAGCCCACCTTGCCTCGTGGTTGGGTATATACAAAATTCTAGGCTTTTCAATTTTTGTTCTAGGCTTGTCAATTTTTGTGCTAGGCTGCCAATTTTTGTCATAGTCTTTAGTACTCACCAATTTTAATGGGGTAAATTAATAATCTTTAGCAAGAAAGTTGAAGTTAAGAGAGGAGGTTAGGTATGTTGCTTAATATCACAACATTGTGCCAAAATAAAAACCAGAAATGCCTGACCCCCTAATTGATACTGTTTTCAACAAATCAGGCAAATTACTTAATGGGTTCTCAATTTTTTTCCATGTTGTCTCAATTTAGTTTATTAATTCTGATTCATTACATATATTTTTTAAAAATTCAAAAATCTCCAGATGTTGAAAATTCAGCAGCATATTTCTAAATCACTGTGAAATCAGAAAATATTCTTAGTGGAATAATAGTGAAACATCAAAACTTAGGTGAAATATCAAAACTTAGGAACTATAGCTAAAGCAGGGCTCAGAGGAAAATTTGTAGTACTGAAACATGTATAAGAAAGCAAGCTGAAAATCAGTGATCTAAGGTTTTGTTTAAGAAAATGAATAGAGAAAAGCTAAAGATTAGTACTTTGAGAAAGTAATAAAATTGGTATCCCAAGCAAGACAGATCTAAGAAAACATAAACTGCCAGTATCAGGAACTAATATATTTTATCTACTACATGTATGAGACACTGAGCATGAGGGGGAGAAGATTTGGGGGGAAAAAAGTTAATCTGTTTTGAAGCCACCCAGAGAAATTGCATTCCAGATTCTATTATATTCAACTTAATCCAACACACATTTGTTGGAAAAGAACATAAATCATTGCCAATTTGATCTTAACAGCTAGACAGAAAGAGAATATATACTTTGGAGTTAGAGAGACCTGAGTGCAAATCCAGCCTCTACCTTGATACAAAATGTTTGACTTTAAATAATTATGCAACTTCTCTGTGCTTCCATTTTCTCATCTCAATAAAGGAAGATAATAATACCAATTTATGGGTGTTGGGGCTGTGGGAGGGGTTAGAGATGAAGCACCATGTACACCTGAGACTTAAATCCTTCTGAGTACTTTCCTCACTATGACCCAGCACCACGGGGTCTAGAGTTGACCTATCAGAGGGAAGGGAACAAAAATAGATCATGAGACAATGGCATCCATTTGGAAATGTAGTGTCTCTGAGAGGCTTGCCCATTTATTTTCTTTATTTTTCCCGTTCTAATAGGAGAGGTTTGACGAAGTCACTATTCAATAGCAAGGAGGGGCTGAGGTGTAGCTCAGTGGTAGAGCACTAGCCCAGCATGTGCTAAGGCCCTGAATTCAACCCCCACAACCACCACCCCAAGATAGGGAAAAAAGGATGTTACCAATATCAAAGGATCACATAACATTAAAAGGAAATAACTTAATATAAAATTTTCATTCTGATTTTATAACATAGTTTTTTTTTCTTGATTATTAGTAGAACACAATAAGAACTATGCCTATAACAGAAGTTATTTTAAGACTTTGGGGGGAAAGGTGCCCATCTCCCACGTTGACATAGTGATAGAGGATGCTCCCTCCCCATGGCTTCGGCTCTCCTCCAGTGTGACTTCTGAGTCCCGCACAGGGTGTCTACTGCAAGGAGTCACAGATCTAAAGCAGCCGTGGCTCAGATCTTAGAGAGATCTGCAAGATGGGTGTTCAGGGTTTTTCACACACTGGACAAACCTGGCGGGCCTAGGAGAGGAAAGCAAGACAAGAGATTAAGAGGCAGTGGGACTCGTCTGCAGTTGGACACAACAATGAAAGAAGCCCTGTTCCCAGCAACAAAAGTACACACAGACCACTGAGCTTCCACACACGCCCCTCTCCAAAGGGACACATTTAGGACTTTGGAAGCCACCTCCGTTTTTTTTTTTTTTTTTATTAATGATAATATGAATGTTATGATACTATGAATATGGTTCTTAATTATAGTTTCTGATTTGGGGAAATTCAACAGTGGAAAAGAAGCAGCAACTATTCTGTTAAGGTGATCTCTCTCCATAAATACATATATATTCAGATCTGATGTTCAAATAAAATGCACACATCTCTCATAAGTTGGGCAGCATTTGGATGGACACAGAATATGTTCTGAAGTTACAGAGGAGTGTGCCCTGAAGGTTGTTTGTTTACTTCAAGCCACTGGGGACACCAACCAGAGGAAGCATGCTGAGCATTTACTGTCTTTATAGTATTCCAAAAAAGTCGTCATCTCTGTTCACTCACTGGTTGAAACATATGTTAGGAAATTCCGTCTGTAGGACTGTGAATGTGTGTATGGAAAGAAAGGGAAATTCATGAAGGATATACAGCCAAATGTTAGTAGTGTTTTCTCTGTGGGACTTAATAAGGGGGTAATATTAGAACCATGAAGAAATCTAATCTATGTAAATGTAACTATACTCCTGTTTGTTTATTAAATAACTATACAGAAAAACCTAGACAAAAGTTTACTAAAATCAGAAGGTATATTTGGGATGGAGAGATTTCAACTACAGTCTGTGTATCTCTGGGACATTCATATTGGGTTCTCCTAGAAATAAACAGCTGTCTTCCAAGTCACACAGCTCTTAGCCACAGTGAGGAGTCCTGCAGGTCTGTCTTTCCAAGAGTTATGCCAAATATATTAGATCTCTTGGAATTAAATCTCTTGGATGGAGAAGACAAACAGTGGTTTTGAATATGATCCCCCAGTTGAAGGTCCCAAGATCTGATGCTCCTGTCTGCAGGAGTCTGAGTGGGAGTCAGGCCTAGACCTTCTCTCCAGAGGCAAGAGAGAGCTCACCCGGAGCACAAGTGAGGGGAGATGATGAGTCTTAACAAAGAAGACTTCTGGCCACTAAGGTCAGAAAGGGAGAAAAAGACAGAAGAGTACAGGGGGTAAGACTTGTCTTCTTTCCCCCATTTTCTCCTAGGCTCTCAGACTCCATTTTCTTCGTGCCAAATGCCTTGAGTAACTGAGCCTGGCCGGGGGCCTGTGGGCTTCCTTCATGGTTGCTCCTTTGTTTTTTCCGTTTTCCATTTAACAGCTGCCACGTGCTCATGGATTTCCTTCTTTCCAGATAGGAACCAGCTGACCGATGGGGAATTCGCGCCATTTAGGAAACCAGAGCCATCAGCATGAATCCCTTAAATCTGTCCTTTGGCTTTTATGATGTGGTTGGTGACATGAAGACACAGTAAAAATATTCTAACACTTCAGCTTCTACATTCTTTGAAAACCTTTTTCTCCCTGCTTTAGTCTTGTTCTAAGCTATGACACCAGGAAAATCTCCAAGGAGGCCTCTATCAGTGTATCCCTACTTATGTGATTGGCCACAACTACTTAGAAATGAATGAGGGGGGTCCCGGTTTTGAAAAGAGTTATAGGTCACTTTAAAAATACATACCTACGTGAAATTTAAAACTTTTCTCCAATAAACATGGATCACATAAACTTTCTTTTAAGATTTTTACATTTCTTAATTTTAAAAGGACAAATCTTGGTAGATTGCCATGTGGAAGCTTACCAAGGATCAGACATGTACACCCAGACCCAACTAAGGAAATTTCACAGGTAAATTTGTGCCAAATCACCGGGATTTTACAACTTAGGAGAAAGGTCTTGGCAAAAACATGCTTCTGCTCCCTGACATCTAGCAGGTTTCCAGCCCTGGACCGGGCGGCTTGCTCCGCAAACCAGAAAATGTGCCTCCAAGGCTGGGTCAGCTTCAAGAGCAAGTCACTGCTTCAGGGTGACTTGCTTCAGGGTGACAATGAGGAAAGAGGCCCATGGGGGTAGTGACCAGGTGAAGGCAACTGGCTAGAAAATCCTCCAAGTGAGGCTAAGAAGAGAAGGAGAGATGGCCAGATCCCCTTAAAGCCCCAGGAGAGACTCCCCAGCCTCCTAGCTCAAAAGAGAACAGGAAAAGATGAAATGTCTGCAGGAGGTAAGCAGCCCTTTCTTCGGGAAGAAAGTCAATTACCTATAGTTATTCTGACAGACAAATGTCATATTCCTCTTGTTCACAATCAATTTCAGCTCATTCAAGGAGGACCCTGAGCATGAATCACTGAGGAAGAAAGAAGAAAATGTTAAAATAACGAGACTTCTTGTTATTTTCCTGAGTCTCTTAGTTTCTTTTCTAAAACCCTGGATAAAGAGGAGAAGCAGAAGTCCACCTCTAAGTGGCCCTAGTTGAGCAGGTGGGAAACTGCTAGTTACCATTGTTGGAGATAAAATTAGTTGTTGGGATGAGCTAAATGTAGAATACGGCCCCGTTCCTTGAGCCAGTCTGTTCCCAATGTATTTGTGAGACTGTGAATTCTTCTGTTGGCCGACATGTAAAATATCCCTTGGGTACAAAGTAATAAGATGTACCTGGGACCTTTTCCAATATCTTGCATCACCCAGGCCTGTACCGTATGAACTTTCTCTGGATGCAAATTAAAGATTTCCACACTTCCAAAAATGCTAAGAGAGAAGAGACAAAGAACATTGTCAATCCTAAACTCAAATTCAAGGACATCCATACCTCCTGTCAAAAACCAGAAAGCTGGACACATTGGGTGGACTCCACCCTTGGAATTGCCTTAGAGACAGTCACCATTTCTTATTAACATGACCCCCAGTTAACAAAGACTTTCAAGATAAGATTTTTAGCCTGCATTTTCATGCTGATTTTTGAAATTAGTTGCTACTCAAGAGTGACTCTTGATCTACTTTGTGAACATCACCAGAAAGCTGGTGAGAGGTGCAATTCAGCCCCCTCTTGCCTGGTTAATCTTATTCCCGCTTTCGCCTGGAGGGTGATTCACATGTTCAGCAAAATCTGAGAAGCCCTGCTTTGAAAGAGGCTGATAATCTGCTTAACCACATTTCTAAATTCTTCTGTATTAATTTCTGACAGATGCCACTCCTGTTCTGAGTAGCTGGATCCCTAAGATCAGATTATAAAATCTTGGAATGTTACCAGTTTCACCCAAAACCCCACAGAAGAGGAAGTCAGGAGAAGACGAAAGCATAAACATTCCTTTGTAGAATTAAATACCAAAAAAAAAGAAAGAGAGAGTAAAAGTAATTTAGGTCACTTATGGTGCCCAGGGCAAATTAACACAAGCTCCTGTCTCTCCAACAACCACACCAGGGCAAGATTAGAGAACAATGGCCAAAAGGTAACAACCCGTCAGAGAAGGAAGGCCCGTCACATCACCATCATCTTTTCAAATCCGCATATGAGGGTCTCACAGAGGTTAGGTGCCCTGCCTAAGGCCACACAGGTCATATGGAATGACCCCTGGAGTCCTGGCTTTTAACCACCGGTGTCACGCTGGCAATGTCTACGAAGAGACGATGAAGGTCAGGAGCCCAAGCCAGTGACCCACGTGCCCAGTGGTCGTGAATTAGGATTCAAACTCTTCGTGGAGTAGAGAGGAGTCAGGGCATTCATGGATGGTGAGGATCTGGACAGGGAGAAGCAGGTAGGGGAAGCAGGTGTCCATGCATCGGAGAGCAGCACGGACACAGGTGGAAATCGGGAGGTGGAGGATAATGATAGAGGAGGCTGACAAAATGGCGCCCGGCCTTGAAACATCATGAGCAGGGGCTCTTGACAGTGCAGTGGCCATCAGGAACATTAGAAGACGTCAGACAGAAGAGAAATGAGACAAAAGCAGTGACCCAGAAAGACAAATATGTTCAGAGAATACCAAATATTTGCCTTTTTTATCCCAAATCTTCAGAACTGGTCTGAAACATAAAAAGCACAATCGTTCTAGCGGTGGAGTATCTCACAGGAGGCCATGGCCAACCATTGCAAATAAGATACAAAGAAATGATTACCTGTTCTTGTCAAAGGGTTCAGTGAGGGATCCATTGAGCATCACTTGGACCACACCACAGGCAGCTTCTGCAAACTTAAAACAATAATAATAATGCTCCCCCCACTCCTCAGCATGTAAACTTAGTCCTCAGTCCCCAGCAACTCCCTCTAAAAACATGCATGGTATTTATTAGCTGGCTAGGGAGGGAACAGTCTCCCTGGTCCTGCACAGGATGCCCAGTCTATAGGATTTCCACTCCACGCCACTGGAGGTGTGAGGCTTCCTTCACAGCGGGGTTCTTCAGCCATTTGAACAAACTGTTGAACAATGAAGTTTCATGCTCACAGGGTTGCTAAATTCAGCAGTGCCGAATTTGGAAGTCCAGGGGAGAAAGAAGAATGTCCCTGGAGGAGAAAGATGAGGGGGTCTTCGTAGTATCCGGCACTGTGACTGTGTCATTTTTACTTAGCAGGAGCAATGTGGGCGATGCAGGAGGAAAGGAAAGGGGAACATCAGGGAAAAGAGAACCAAGAGAGAGAAGATGGTTCTGAGGCCTGACAAGGCACAGAGAGAAAGGGGGTTTGGACAGATGGATGTGACTGAGCAAGAAGGTGGGTCTCTCCATGCAGCAGATGCTCAGCTGAAAACAACATGAGCACAGCAACCTCTATGCTTTCCCAGGAGACATGGCGGACCTTGGCACCGGCTCAGATGCCTTCTCTGAACCCTGACCCCATCGATGTCCCTTCACATTGTGTTACTATCACGCATTGTAATAATGAGCTCAGTGTCATTTAGCTCCCAGTACTGAGTACTCCATGAGAACGGAGAGCCAGCTGTCCTCTACAGCCCTGGGTGCTGTGTACCTGCTGCATGACACAGAGTGGACACTCAGTAAAAATCTGAAGAAGGAAAAGAGGGAGGGAAAGAAGCAGCCAGCGCTTGGTTGCTCTGTGGAGGAGACTAGGAAATAACAGGGTTGTGCAGGTCAGCGAAGTGGTGAACCAAGGAGGAGGGGACATCAGCAGGTGAAGGCAGCTGAGAAGGGAAAGGCCTAAGGGTCTAAGAGCAGTTGTGGACACTGACATTGGGTATAAAGTTAGTTTGTGAGGCACCATGCATGCTTTGCCAAGGAATCTGGACCCTGCTCTGCGGGTGACCTTGGCTCCTGAAGGATCTGAAACTGGACTGTGAAATCCAGTGCTGCTCTGTCTTGCCACCATGAGCAGAGGGACAAAGGCCCAGTGGTTGTGACTAATCACAAGTACCAACTCAAAAGCATGCTCACGGGTACCAACCCTGGACCACCCAAGATGGAATTCTCAAGGTATAATTCTCAAGACACCCCCCTCCACCACCCCACCAGGGAAATGTTGGATCAATGTGCCTCAAAATCACATTACTTGGAAATAAGGAGATGAGACAAAAATTTGAAGTACCAAGAAGTGTTGCTGCTATTGTCAAAAAGAAAGAAAGAAAAGAAAGGTACAAAGGGCCATCTACACACACCCATGAAAATTTGGCAAAGATAAAGGCACAGGTGTCTATATGGTTCACCAGGTGCCTCTGATCCTCTTCACCTCTGTACTCCTGGCACCAAGGACTGAGTGGGAACATAAGCAAGTACTCAAAACATAACATGGCTTTGGGAGTTTTTAATATTAGCACTGTCCTGAAACATATTAAATAGCAATGAAATAAAAAGAAACTATTCTCAGAAAAATTAAGCAAACAAAAACTCTGCAGGGCCCTTTATTTTGTTATGGTATGTAGTAGGTCCTTAACAAATATTTATTAAGTGGATGAATTCCAAGTTACTTAAAAGTTCAGTGGTATTTTATTTAAATATGGCAGCAACCCAATGGAACAGGCTTATTTTGACCTCCATTTGACAAATGAGAAATCTGAAGGTCAGAATAATTAAGGATGCACCCAAGTTGAAATGTTTTCCTTCTCATACTTCCTTCTGGGAGAACTAGATGGGAATGACATCAAAAAGACACATCAGGGATTTTCACAAATATAGTGCTATCCTTTGCATGTTTGTCCCTACCTAACCCCCACCCCCACCCCACAAATCCATATATTGGAAACTAAGACTCAGTGTATAATATTAAGAGGCACGCCTTTAAGAGGTGATTAGACCATAGAGCTGTGCCCTCATGCATGGGAAGACAGTTCTTTTAAAAGGGCTCAAGGAAACTAGCTAGTGCTTTCTTGTCCTTCTGCTTTCTGCCATGTGAGGACACAGCAACAAGGCACCATCTTGGAAGCCAAGAACAGCTCTCAGCAGACATCCATTCCACTGGACCTTGACCCTAAACCTCCCATCCTCTCGAACTTTGCAAGATAAATGTGTGTTCCTTATATATTACATACTCTTTGGTATTTTGTTACAGCAGCATAAATGGACCACAACATGTGCACTTAACACATACAAGTCTCCATTTTCCCTAGCTCCTCAGATGTCTATGTTTAATTCTGAAATATTATACTTAGTTTTAATTCCTCTCTTTTTTATTTCTTATTTTTCCTTTCCTTTTTTTCCCCTTCTTCTACTTGCAAAGAAGTTTTTCCTTGTCCAACTTGCAAAGAAGCAACTTATAGAAAAAAAAATAAGCCCAGTCAGCTTCAAGTGAAGTCAGAAATAGGGAGTGAGGGTGGTGGTGAGTTTTTCTTAAGCCAGGTTCTGGATCTAAAGTCAGAAGACTTAGGATAAATGCTCAATCTATCATTTGCCAACTGTACATTTAGTAGATTACTTATGAACTTGCATTTCTATTTCAATGTCTGTAAAATGGGCTCAATACTCATGGAACTTACTCTACAGGGTTCTTTTTTCCCTCCATAGGGTTTTTGTGAGAAGGAACATTTTAATTCATGTAAAGAGTTAAGCACAAGGCATGTGGTCTATAAATGTAGATTATTAAAACTGTTCTAGGAATCTAATCATTATGTCAGAGGATTAAACCAACCCCTTGCTTCCTGGCACCCACAGCCCCAAATTGGATAAGATCAGGAACTATTCAACTGGAGCCCCCATAGACCCTCCATGAATGTTCTAAAATTGGGTGTGAAAATCTACTGGCATGTGTTTCTGAACCCTTTCCTCAGTAAAGAATCCTACAATTTCAGTCCTAAAAGGATCTATGACCCAAAAAGTGTTAAAACCAATCACTGTCTGGATGACATCTTCAAGTTCTCTGATCTCAAAATTCTAGAATTTCATGACTGGGTACTCACCTTCTGGGAAATTGCTTTCCAGAACACTGAACCAGGGTTGTTACTGCAGTCATTCCTCCAGTGAGGGCAAGATTGATAGTTCAAGTCTAAAATCATAGTTTATAGAAAATCATTGAAGTGGAGAAGGAAGCATATCAATCAGTTCCTTTCCTCTCTGGTCAGTCACTGCGGAGCACTTTTCCAACAGCATCCCTGCCAGATAGAGGCTTGGAGAATGGACACAACTCGACCTAATTTAACTAAGTGTCCCCTGAATCCCTTCCAAGTTCTTACCTTACTCTCCAAACTCCAGACGGGAACACAGTGACAGGTTTTGAGTCATCATTCTGGGAAATGGCTGTGAAAGTTCACCCAGCAGAGAAAAGCCCCCATTGCTATCCCCAAGTTCAGGAAGAATGAGAGGGGATACCGGGCCTTTGGGGGTGGCTCTCAGCAATCACTTCTCTGCTTCCTGATAACTCTCTTTTGTTACAGCTTCCTTCCCTGCCTCCGTAAGTCCTTGCACTTTTGGGCTCAGATGGCCTCAGAGGCTTTCTCTATGCACCCCATCAAGAGAGGCCGAGGCCTCAGTGAGGCAGGAGACACAGGGCAGGGGATGGATGCACAGTGCCTGTGATGCTTCTCTCAAGGACGTCTTCCTTAATGCACAAACATGTAACGGGGATGAGGTTCTGGGGACAGAGAGGTGAATTAGTTAGGAGTCCTGCCTTCAGAGAGCACAGGATGGAGTGACATCCAACAACCATGCCTGGTTCAGAGACTGCGCATCACCCCCAGGAAGGAACTTTGTTTTGAAGGAAGAATAGGCATCTTCAGACAGGCTCCACGCAGAGAGAACGTGTGCAGAGGAACAGAGCTCTAAGGCAGGACAGCCCAGTGGGTTCACAGCAGTAAAGGGACCTGTTATGGCTTGGATCTGGAATGTTCTCCCAAAGCTTCTGGCTGAACACTTGGTCCCCAATGCAGCAATGTTCAGAGGTAGAGCCTTTGGGGGTGTGATTGGGTCACGAGGCCTCTGACCTCATCAGTGGATTAATCCACTGATGTCTGAACAAACTCCCAGGAGGGGGTGGAAACGGTAGGTGGTGGGCATGGTCAGAGGATGCAGGTCACTAGGGAAGGGCCATGGAAGGCTATTTTCTGCTCTGATGCCCTTCTTCTCTCTATCCTCCTCCCCACTCCTGGCTGCCATGGGCAGAGCCACTTTCCTCCTCTATTCCCTTCTGCCATTGCTGTTCTGCTACCCCTCAGTCCTAAAGCAATGGAGCCAGCTGACCACAGACGGAAACCTCTGAAATTGTGAACCAACATAAGTCTTCCTCTTCTAAGTTATTTACATCAGGCATTTTGGTCATAGCAATAAAATAACACAGGATGAGAAAGGGAATGAGGGAGGACGAGGCATTTTATACAAAAGTACATACAAGAGGAAGTGAGGGGAAAGGGAAAAATAATACAAGGGGGACAAATGAATGTCAGTAGAGGGGACAGAGAGAGAAGAGGGGAGGGGAGGGGAGGGGAGGGGGGATAGTAGAGGATAGGAAAGGCAGCAGAACACAACAGACACTAGTATGGCAATATGTAAATCAATGGATGTGTAACTGATGTGATTCTGCAATCTGTATATGGGGTAAAAATGGGAGTTCATAACCCACTTGAATCAAAGTGTGAATATGATATATCAAGAACTATGTAATGTTTTGAACAACCAACAATAAAAAATTAAAAAAAAAAAAAAAAAACAGAGGTCAGTCAGGTCATGTCAAGGAATTCAGACATTACCTGAGAGGAAAAACAGAACATTTTAGGCTTCCAGTAGGAGACAGATACAATCACATTTTTATTTTAGGAAGAACCCTGTGGTTGCCAGATGGAGGCTGACCTAAAGTTTTTCTTTTCTTTATAAAGCACCCATCCTCAGGTACTTTGCTCTAACAATACAAATTGAACTATGACAATTAGGTAGGGAAATTGTATGAAGACAGGATCTAGATCCCTTTCTTGTGTCCCAGAAGTCAGGAATTGTGGTATTTGCCTGTTCCAATCTGAACTTGAAGAAACACAATTCTACTTCCACCTTCTGATGGGTAGACTTTTGTTTCCCTATAGATGTGTTACTTCTACCTTTTTATGGTTGAATTATGTCCTCCCCAAAGATATGTCGAGTCCTAACCCCTGGTACCTGTGAATGTGACCTTATTTGGAAACAGGATCTTTACAGTGCAATTAAGATGATGTCATTTGTGTTACTGGGAAATAATCCAGTTATAACTGATATCATTATAAGAAGGGGAAGTTTGGACAGAGAGAAGAGAGAGATACACAGAGGTAAGGTGATGTGAAGACACAGAGAGAAGATGGCCATGTGTGACAGTAGCAGAGCTAGGAGAAGTATATCTTTAAGTAAAAGAAAAAAAGATTAGAAGCTAATAAAGTAAGAAGACTATTGTAAAGCAAACAAATGAAGTAAAACTATATTAGGTTAAAAAATTTGGAGAAAAAACTGTCAGAATATGGAAATTTTTTAAAATTTCCCTTCTTCTTTCTACCATGTGGAAATGCACCAACAAGGCACCATCTTGGATTGAAGGGGAGCTCTCGCTGGATGCTGAGTCTGCCAGTGCCTGGATATTGAACAACTCTGACTCCAGAACTACTGATGGCCAAGAGACAGCAGCAAGGAAGCAGGATAAGAAGTCTCGGGCTCCACTCCCCCATCCAGAAAGGTCAATCAATCTAAAGACCACAACATCTTCTCGAAGGCTCCAGTACTTGGAAACAAGCCTGCAATGCCCACATCGTCCTCAGAGCTGAAGGAAAACTGCATTGGAAGGGTTCTAAGAAGAATGATCTCACTTCAACTATGCCACCCCTCTCACCTCCCAGTTCAGCACAACAGATGGAGAGCTTTGTCCTGGGCTAATGGTTTCTACAGGGTAACAAAAGAACTAGAAGCAGTCATCAGATTCCCTAGCACGGTCACCATTCTCACCTCATGGGTAACACTGAGGGTAAAGGCAGGGGTGGATCATTTGGGGTCAAGTGGAAACAAAGAAAGAAGACAGAGTCATAGGCTGACACATGAGTCTCGGTGGCACCTCGGTATTTCTACCAACTGTTTCCCAGCCAACTTCACTGCAAAGCTGAGCTGCTCACCTTCTGAATCACACTGGGAAGTCTAACCTAGCTTGAAGCATTTTCCCACCTGGCTGGTGTTGTTGGTGTATGCTCTGAGGCTGGGTAGGGGAATGCTTTCCCATTTTAGAGAAGCAGAGTGGAGCTGCTTGACCTAGAAGTCAAGCCGTGGTTCCACTCAGTCAAGAAGCCTCTCAATAACCTCACCCAGACGGGGAGTCTCCCACCTCTGTGCATTTTGGAGAAGCACTGACACTAGACTTGTTTGACCTGGAGGACAGTCTTTCTGAACATAGTGATATGAACTAGATATCAATAGCAGGAGAAAATACATATGTATTCACAACTATGTAGAAATTAAACAACATAGAAATCAAACAACATGGTCCTGAACAACCCATCAAACAATGAAAAAATTAAAAGGGAAACTAAAAATATCTCAAGATGAATGAAAACAGTAATACAACATGCCCAAACTTGAGAGACACATCAAACTGAGTTTTAAGAGGAAAATTTACACCAATAAATGCCTAGATCAAAAAGGAGAAAGGGCTGGGTATATAGCTCAGTGGATAGAGTGCTTGCCTCCCATGTACAAGGCCTTGGGTTCAATCCCCACCACCACAAAAACAAAACAACAGCCAAAAAAAAAGGAGAAAGGTTTCAAATAAATAATTTAGTGTTATGTCTCCAGGAACTAAAAAAAGAATTAACAAATTAAGCTCAAAGTTAGTAGAAGAAAGGAAATAAAATAAAGAGCAGAACAGAAATAAATGAAATAGAGAAAATCAATAAGACTGAGAGTTGGTTTTTAAAAAAGTTAAATGAAATCAGCAAGCATTTATCTAGACTAAGAAAAAAAGAAAAGACTCAAATAAACAACATCAGAAGTGAAAGAGGAGACATTACAACTGTTACCACAAATATAAATGCTCATAACTGACTACTAGTGACAATTACACACTAACAAAGTGCATAACCTAGAAGAAATCAATTCCTAGACAAATACAAACTACAACAACTGAATCATGAATTAATAAAAATTCTGAACAATTGTGGCACCTTTGTCTAGTATGAGATAACTGTGTTTATGTGAGTTTGTCTCTGTGTCTTTTATTCTGTACCATTAGTCTATGTGTCTGTTTTGGTGCCAATACCATGCCATTTTTATTATTATGGCTCTGTAGTATAGTAAGGTCTGGTATTGTGATGCCTCTGGCTTCATTCTTCTTGCTAAGGATGGCTCTGGCTATTCTGGGTCTCCTATATTTCCAAATGCTTTTTCTAGTTCTATGAAAATGTCATTGGGATTTTAGTAGGAATTGCATTAAATTTGTATATTGCTTTTGGTAGTATGGCCATTTTGACAATATTAATTCTGCCTATCCAGGAGCTTGGGAGGTCTTTACATCGTCTAAGTTCTTCTTCAATTTCTTTCTTTAGTGTTCTGTAGTTTTCATTGTAGAGGTCTTTCACTTCTTTTTTTTAGATTGATTCCCAAGCATTTTATTTTATTTAGGTTATTTTAAAGGAGGTATTTTTTCTAATTTCTGTTTCAATGGATTCATCACTGATGTATAGGAATGCATTTGATTTATGGGTGTTGATTTTATATCCTGCTACTTTACTGAATTCATTTATTAGTTATAAAAGTTCTCTGGTGGAATTTTTTGGATCTTCTAAATACAGAATCATGTCATCAGCAAATAGTGATAGTTTGAGTTATTCTTTTTCTATTTGTATTCCTTTAATTTCTTTCTTCTAATTGCTCTGGCTAGAGTTTCAAGGACAATGTTGAATAGAATTGGTGAAAGAGGGCATCCTTGTCTTGTTCCAGTTTTTAGAAGGAATGTTTTCAATTTTTCTCCATTTAGAATGATGTTGGCCTTGGGTTTAGAATAAATAGCTTTTACAATGTTAAGTTATGTTCCTACTATCCCTAGTTTTTCTAGTGTTTAGAACATGAAGGGATGCTATGTTTTGTCAAATGCTTTTCCTGCATCTATTGAGATGATCATAATGATTCTTATTTTTAAATCTATTAATATGATGAATTACCTTTATTGATTTCTGTATGTTGAACCAAACTTGCATCCCTGGGATGAACCCCACTTGATCATAGTACACTATCTTTTTAATATGTTTTTGTATGCAATTTGCCAGAATTTTATTGAGAAATTTTGCATCTATGTTCATCAGGAATATTGATCTGCAGTTTTCTTTTCTTGATGTGTCTTTGTCTGATTTTGGTATCAGGGTAATATTAGCCTTCTAGAATGAGTTTGGAAGGGTTCCCTCCTTTTCTATTTCATGGAATAATTTGAAGAGTATTGGTGTTAATTCTTCTTTGAAAGTCTTGTAGAACTTGGCTGAGAATCCATCTAGTCCAGGGCTTTTTTTATCTCATACTAGATAAAGGCACCAAAAACATTCATTGGAGAAAAGATAGCCTATTCAACAAATTGTGCTGGCAAAACTGGGACCCATATGTAACAAAATGAAATTAAACCCCTATCTCTCACCATGTACAAAACTCAATTCAAGTGGATCAAAGACTTAGGAACTAGAACAGAGACCCTGCGACTAATAGGAGAAACAGTAGGCCCAAATCTTCCCCATGTCGGCCTAAGATCTGACTTCCTTAACAAGATCCCTAAAGCGCAAAAAGTAAAATCAAGGACCAATAAATAGGATGCATTCAAACTAAAAGGCTGCTTTTCAGCAAAGGACACAATCAGGAATGTGAAGACAGAGCCTACAGAATGGGTGAAAATCTTTACCACATGCACTTCAGATGGGGCATTAATCTCCAGGATATATAAAGAACTCAAAAAACTTAACACCAAAAAACAAATAACCCAATCAATAAATGGGCTAAGAAACTTCACAGAAACTTCACAGAAGAAATACAATCAATCAACAAATATATGAAAAAATGTTCATCATCTCTAGCAATTAGAGAAATGAAAATCAAAACTACTCCAATCAGAAATGCAATTATCAAGAATACAAGCAACAATAAATGTTGATGAGGATGTGGGGGAAAAGGCACACTCATACATTGCTGGTGAGACTGCAAATTGGTGTAATCACTAAGGAAAGCAGTATGGAGATTCCTCAGAAAACCTGGAATGGAACAACCATTTGACCCAGCTGTCTCACCCCTCAGTTTATACCCAAAGAATTTAAAGTCAGCATACTATGGTGACACACCCACATCAATGTTTATAGCAGTTCAACTCACAATAGCTAAATTATGGAATCAACCTAGGTGCCCTTCAACAGATGAATGGATAAAGAAAACATGGTATATATGCACAATGGAATACTACTCAGCCATAAAGAAGAATGAAATGATGGCATTTGCAGGTAGATGTATGAAGCTGGAGAACATCATGCTAAGTGAAATAAGCCAATCCCAAAGAACCAAAGCTGAAAGTTCTCTCTGATATGTGGATGCTAATTCACAATGTATCATTGAGTTCAGTGTGCCAGCATTTTGTTGAGGGCTTTTGCTTGTTTGTTCATCCAGGATATTGGCTTGTAAATATCAAGAGAAGGATAGAGTTACTTTGGATCAGGCAGGAGGGTGTGAAGGGAGGGGAGGGGGTATAGGGATAGGAAAGATAGTAGAATGACTCGGACATTATTACACTATATGCATATATGACTACATGACCGGTGTAACTCTACATCAAGTACAACCAGAAGAATGAGAAGTTATACTCCATTTATGTATGATGTGTCAAAATGCATTCTACTGTCATGTATAACTAATTAGAACAAATTTTTAAAAAGAACCAAAGTAAAATAACTCTGAACAGACCAATATTAAGTAATGAGATTGAATCATTAGTTTAAAGTCTTCCATTAAAGAAAGCCAGGATCTGATGCTTCACTGCTGAATTCCACCAAATACTTACATAACTAATACCTACCCTTCTAAACTTAAAAAAAAAAGAAAGTGGAAGAATACTTCTAAAGTCTTTCATCAAGGCCAGTGTACCCTTATTCCAAAGCCAGGCAGGGTCTTACAAGAAAAGAAATTTATAAGCCAATATCCTCGATGAACATAGAAGCCAAAGTCCTCAACAAAATACTGGCACCCTGAACTCAAGGGTACATTACAAGAGTCAGCCCTCAGGATCAAGTGGGATGGATCCCTGGGGTGCAAGGATGGTTCAACACCCACGAATTCATAAGTGTGAAGCAGCACGTTAACAGAATGGAGAGGAAATCTGTATGATCATCTCATTGGTGCAGAAAAAGCTATTTGACAAAATTTAACATCCTTCCTGATGAATATCTCACCAAATCAGTCTGTGGACAAGGACAGACTAAAATCAATATTAAAAGAAAATGAAAACTAAGAAATCAATTTTCCACCTTGGGCCAGAAAAAGAGGCAGAACAACGTGGCAGTTAAGAGCACGGAGTTTTCAAGCCAGTCTTCCTGGGTTTGCTCCAGCCCTGCCACCTGCCTGCTGCAAGTCACTTAACTCTGGCCTTGGACTTCCCATATGTAAAATGTGATCACCACAGGCCCTCGTGGCCTGAGAGGGGTTAATACTCACCATGAGCACTTTGCAAGTGCTCAGTCTTAGCTCTTATTATTAACTTACAAAGGACTTTCACTGATAAGAAAACAATGAGCACCCCATTAGAGAGTTAGAATGTATGAACCGGCCTTTTACAGAGAAAATGAAAACATTTACCCTGTGTGTGTGTGTGTGTGCGCGCACACACACACGCTCAATATCACACAAAAAAAATTCAAAATAAATTGAAGTGCTATTTCTTTATCAAATGAGTCAAAAAAAATTTAAAGTATTAATAATTGGTGTTAATGATGGTATAGGTAAATAAACAATCTCATATATACTCTTGATAATAGTGTAAATTATTGTCACCTTTTAAATGACATTTTATCAGTTTCTATCACAATTTACCCTTTAACACTAAAATTCCACTTGTAGAAATTAACCTTTCAGTAATACTTTCAGCTTGCAGGTGTGTGTGTGTGTGTGTGTGTGCGCGCATGTGCGCACATGTGTATACAAAGGTTTCTTCTGATAGTGATTATAATAGCAACAAGCACTAAAATAATCCTAAATGTCCATCAATAAGATTGGTTAATGACGTAGCCTTTTACATCTGGCGGTGTGCAGGGTCTGGCAGTGTAGCTCAGTGGCAGAGAGCCTGCGTACCATGTGTGAAGCCCCATGTTCCATCCCTAACACCGCAAAACATCAAAAGGAGAAAGAGAGAATGTAGATATCCTTATACCTAAAATTAATAAAGTAAATTGCAGAACATATGTGCACATTTTAAACATCTGTGTTTATCCGAGCATAGGGAAAATTCTGGAAGGATATGTACCAAATTGTTGACAATACTTATCCCTTGAGAAGTGATGTGGAGGTCGGAGGTGGGGGAAGGATTCAGGGTGACCTTTGCTTTTGACTTTTACCCGGTTCTGTAACACGAAAGTATTCTTTCCAGTAAGCAGGTTTCATTTTTATAAATGACAATAATGCAAACCTGGGATGAAGAAGCTGCAGAAAGATAAGCATTATAAAATAGTCAAAAGCAACAACAACAACAACAAAATGAGAAGTATAAAGTAAACAATATCCACCACATAAATAAAAAAGAAAGAAATGAAAGCAGATTCAACAGGCTTGAGTGAGTAGAGAACACCTTTCCACAGCAAGGCACTCCGGGGCTTTCTGGGCAGGAAAAAGCCACAGCTGAGAGACGACAGCAAAGCCAGACCAGCCTGAGAAGGGAAGGGGCCACTGCAGCCACCACGGGGTTCTGAAGCACAGGTACATGGGTCCCTCTGAGGCCTCACCCTGCTCTAGAATTCTTTGGTGCTGAAGGATGCCCTTATGGAAAGCAGAACACCAAGAATTTAGAAGCCGGCTGCTTAAGCACTCAGAGGAGATCAAAGAAGCAGCCCCCAAACCTGACGCTGACTCCTCAGGGGATCAGAGATTCTTCCTGGGATGCATTCCCATGGGCCGGAGCTGTCCTTAAAGGCAGAGACAGTGTCACGTAGCTGCCTGTGGTTCTTCCCTCCACACTGGCTCCTCGGGGCCCCTCGCGGAGCATAAGGCTCCTCTACCCAGTATGTCCCTGGGCCATGCCACGTGGCTCCAGTCCTCACCAGAAGTGCTGGGGTCTCCACACCATGTGAGGTGGTCAGCCATGTAGCCCAGCAGCGTGTCCTCCAGGGTGAAAAGCTCCTGCTGCACCCCTGTGTACTGATGGACCAGGTCTTTTAATTTGCTCCAAAACAGAGTCTAAGAAAGAATGAACACAACCCATATGGAGGTCAATTTAGAAGGTTAAAAAAAAAAAGGTCCACATTTTTGAAATGAAAGAAAACAGAAGCTATCAACAAATCACATATAGCAAGGGCAGGGATTGTTGTGCCTTGTTGCTTTCTGTGTGAAAGGGAGTGTGGCTGTGTGTGTATTTGTGTGTGTGTGTGTGTTTTCTAGGTCACAGTGTAAAATGAATTTTTTTTTTTGAGTTGTAGTTAAAAAAGGCTGGAAGCTACTGATCAAAATCTTATAATTAACATGGGATAGGATCACATCTGGAACAGACATTAGGGAATTTCAATATTTCTAAAGTTATTGGCCAAAAGAAAATTGTTTTGCTTATGTGCTGTTTTCTGGAAGAAGAGCTCTTTAATTCTTAAAAAGCTCAAGTCCTCCCACTTTCCCTCAAATCTCTCCTAACCCCAATAAAAAGCAGTGGGGGGTGCTTTTTAAGAGTCTACCTCAAAAGTGAAAGCAGTCAAATTTCAGAACAGTATTCTGTCCCATAAACCTATTCATTCCTAGCAGGAAGCAGTGGAGGGCAGTGGGCTACCACAGAGGCCCTGGCGTCTGGCTCCTTGTTAAAGATGGTCATCATCTGATCAGCCATTGGACCTGGGGCAAGCAAAGCATCACTAAGCCTTCCTTTCTATTCCTGCAAAACAGTAGCGATGGTGACTGTAACAAACTCATGTGAGGCTGGGGAGATTAAAGGAAGTAATGCAGATAGAATTTCTGAGCATGTGGGTTATTTGCCAAGCACCTCCTCTGTGCTGAACATTGTGCTTGGTGCACCAAGGAGAAGAGCCTAGTGACTCCGGCTCACTCACCTGGGATGCCAGGCTGTAATTTGTGGATGGACTTAATGGCTTCACAAAGACATCTTCTGGCACAGGGGATTTTTGCCTTAAACACTGACTTTAGAAAAGATGTGCCTACTGCTGACCTTTCCTGGTATAGTGAGTGCATTACAACACAGGCCTCTCTGGGTCCAAGTCTTGTGTATTTACACTTCAACCAGCTTGACCAACATGGGCAATCACTGGTCACTTAAACTCACCAAGCCTTGGGTTTCTCACAGGTGAAATGGGGATGCAGACACCTGCTCAGGCCTAAGAAGGTAAGGGTTAGCTGTGCCCTTTGTAAGCAAAAAGAATAAAGTGAAAAGCACTCTTCAAATGAAAATTGGCATGTCTACTATTTATTTATCTGTTTTTTATCAAAGGCCAAGGGAAATTTTGTAATTATATAATTTGGGGTTATTTATGTTTGCCTTTAGGTGTTTGGTTTGGTGTTAGATTTGTTTTGCACGATTTGAGGCCAATTCTCCTTTCCTCCCTTTGTGGCCCATTTCTCTCTTACCTTCCTTCCCCAGATGTCCTAAACCCTGAGGATATCTCAGATCCCTACTCGCCCCACAAACTCAAACCCCACCAACCACACCCAGATTCTAATGCCTGAATATTTCCTCTTCCCTCCCTCATTCTTATCCACCTTTGGTCCTGTGACCTCTTCCTGCTGGCTCCAGTCCCCAGTTTTAAAAATTAATCCCTTGTCCAGGTTACCTACCTTGTTGCAGGCTATAGTTTGAGTGTCCAGCTTAAGTAGTGGTTGGTAGTCTTCTTTTGTGATGTTGCAAGGATTCTTGGAAAGAAATGCACTTTTAAATGCATCCAGTATCTTTCGGCAGTCTTGATCTCTGTGAGGTAAGTCATGAGAAATAAAATAAAACATAGATATATATTTGTAAAATATTTTTGATATATAATTACAAAAAATTATAGTTAGGAAGCAACTAATAGGTGCCAAGTACTTTGTTCACATCATTTAGGAAGCAACTACTGGGTGCCAAGTACTTTGTTCACATCATCTCACCTGACCTGTGCAACATCTTTGTGAGGTAGAACTAGCCTCCCTACTGAGTCTCAGTGAGATCCAAATGACCTTCCCTCATTCACACAGTCTGCAAGGTGGTAGAGCCAAGATTCAGATCTGTGTGCCAGAGCTAGAGTCAGTCATTAGTGCTCTGTGGACTAATTGTTAGAAGAAGTTGAGAAGATCATGCAAAGACACCTAGTTTTCTCTTTCCCCACTTCACACTGTTTAAAAATGTTCCAGGATGCCTATTGCCTTCAGAAAAGTCCCAGTTCCACATTGAACTCTCCCTGAGCTTCCCCATTTCTTTGCAGGCACAATGCCCACCGTCTGCAATCCTATCCTTTGCCATATCTGCCTGCTGAAGCTTAGCCACACTTCATGCCCATGTCCTGCTGTGAGCAAGCCCTGAATATGTGACTCTGCTGTTCCCATAATTTGGGCAGCCTCCTGACCCACGTGTGCTTCTCCTGCAATGAGGAATAAATGAATGTGAAGCCGTCATTCACCCTTGGTTTAAGGACTTCTTAAATCATAGCTCATCTTAAAGGCCCCTTTCCTTAGGGAACCCTCTGCTCCCCTGTGGACAAGTAAGTCTGCTCCCCCATGGTTTACTTCTAACTCATCCTGCTTCAAAAGAAAGCTAGCTACAAACAGGCCAATCTGCCCAGAATGTGAGTGCCTCTAACACTAGGTTCAACATAATGCTTGCGGATTGAGTGGAAGACCAAATATGATTCCTGTGATTCAAAATATATGTATGATTTAAAGAAGATCTCACTTTCTGAAGTGGAGAAGTAAGGAACTTCAAAATTCTGCTCCTCTATAAAAGCAATAGGAACACTAGCAAGAATTATCACCAACCAATTTTTCAGAACTCTGGAAATTAAAGTTTGCAATAATCCAAGAAGTGTGTTTTTTCTTTTTCTTTTTCTTTTTTTTTTTTTAGGCGAATCTTGGTTGGAATAGTGAGCCTTGCAGCTTGTTAACTTGGCTTACTGACATCTCACTCTCCCCAGTTCCATGTAGCCTTGAAATCCAACAGCTCTTCTACCTATGAAAAAACATCCGCCGGCCACTGGGGTGTGGAGCAACACTGATCTCCCCAAATGTCCCCACCCCCAGAGAACTGTCACTATTGGACCTGTCTAAATGCTTGCTGAAAAGCCCATGTCAGGACTTGGCTTTCTTTGACATGATTGAGTTCAGTCTGGGTGAATAAAACTACCTACCGAGAGTTCACGAAAACAATCCCTGCAATTATATAAAAGCAAGTGCATAAGGTAGCGTCACTCACTGGGGCTATTAAGACAAAACCTTAGAAAGAAAAACTGGAGAATCAAATATCCATAGGAATGACAAGAAAGTCTCCCAAAATAAGGAATAGCTAAAACTCTATAGGAATTATTGTGTGTTTTTTTTTTTTAATAAAGAAAAAGTCTGGAGTTGAAAGCAACTAGCACTGAACTGCACATTTTACTGGAGGGGCCAACATCAGATTTGAGCTGGGAGAAGACATCAGTGAACTTGAGATCAGAGACACAAGCATAATGGGAACTGCAGAAGAAGAGGAGACAAAGAGGCAAGAGAAACTGTTCTTGAAGAAGTAATGCCCACGAACTTCACAAATATATAACTAAAATTATTCTTAAAAGACACAGAATAAAAATCTTTATAACCTTAGATTAAGCAATGTTTGCTTAGCTATGACACCCAAAGCACAGTGACAAGAGAAAAAAAAAATTGTTGTCATACTTCATGAAAACTGAAAACTGTTGTATATCCAAGGACACCACCCAAGTGAACACAGAGCTCACAGAATGGAGAAAATGTTTTCACATATATTATTCTTGATTTGGGACTAGCTTCCAAAATAATTGAAAACTCTTACACATCAATGATAAAAAGCTAACCCAATTAACAAACTAGCAATACACATCTTTTCACAAGAGATATGAAATTCACCAAGAAACACATGTAAAGTGCTCGACCTCATTAGTCACTAGGCAACTGGAAATGAAACCCACAAGATGACACCTCATACCTCATACTCATAAGGATGGTGTGAGGGATCCACCGTGCCCAGCCCCCACTCGCAAGTTGGAGTCCTAACCCCCAGTACCCTGGAATGTGACCTTATTTAGAAATAGGGTGGTTGCAGGGTGCATGTGATCAGATCTGAGGAAACTTCTACTGTTCTACAACACAGTAGTACTCCACAGTTGATAACAGTTAATTTGTGTATTTTAAAATCATTACAGAGAGGACTTTGAAGGTTCCCAACACAAAGAAATAATAAGTTTCTGAGGAGACAGACATGCTAGTTACTGTGATCTGGTCATTACACTTTGTATACTTGCATTGCAATGTCACACTGCACCCCATAAATACGTATAATTACCATGTGTAAATCAAAAATAAAAGAAATAGGGTCATTGCAGTCGATGTAGGGGTGGGACTCTAAAAAATCCCCAGGCAATTCGGATGCCCTATTAGTTTGAGAACCACTGTATTTGGTATGAAATACAAAATTCAACAGAACTTTCTTTTCAATGTCTGGGCAAGTCATCTCAGCTTCATGAAAGTGATATCAGGAAACTATTGTTGACCTGTCTTTCTCCATATGTTTTATATATCTAAGGTGAAAAAAAAAGTCATAACACTTTGCACTTCAATGTCATTCAAAATTTATGGGGCATCATCCTGGGCAGTTTAGAGAAATGGTGTTTTGGCGGCTACTTTGCTTAAGGGATTATGCTTTCATTCCATTAATTAATGCAGTGGCCATCTCAAGAACTTCCTGTTTTGGATTCCAGCTCTCTCATAAAACTCTTCTATGTCTTTCCTCAACATCATGTGTAAGACTTAGGGAAGACAAAGAATAAGGCATAAGAATTTTCCACTGCAAAACATCTGGCAGGAAAGAGAAATGACCACACAGAGTACCTGCCACGTACCAGATGTTTCCAGGTGTGTAAGGTTATTTAATCACCCCAAACACACACAGCTCCAAAATTGTTTTTGTGCTTTTTAGGTATAAAGAGATCAGTTCAGGAAACTACATCAGAAGGATTCAAAAAATCCCAGGTTAAAAATTTAACAGTTCCTTGTTTAGAAGGTGCCAAGCTATGGAGCATTGGAGTTGAAGGTGACCCTGGAAAAGCATTAACTGACTCTTTCCTCTCTCCTTCCAATGGACCAGCGCCTCCTGTGTGTCTCACAAATAAGAGCAAATGTGAAAGGTGATGAAGAGCTTGGAGACAGGTCTTACGAGACTATTTTTCACCTCAGATGTACAAGTCAGACTTAAATATGCACTGAAATTGAAAGGAACCAGGACTGCAGTGGACAGAGATGGCAGCTGATCTTTCTGACCAAAGAAGCAGGGTGGAAGGGTCAGGAGTCATTTCTTTATGTCCCGTATGTACATATATATTTTTTCTTTCTGTTCCTAACTTGGAAGACTTGGTCAAGAGAGTTCCAAGGATGCCTGCTGCCTGGGAAAAGGAGGCTGTGAGCCGGCAACTGTGGGCCCAGTCACTGTTCCCAAGGGCTCGGTCTGTGCCTGAAGTCCTCAGCTCTGGCCACACTTGAGGATCAGCTGGAGAGTTTGGGAAAAACAAAGTTCCTGGGTCAGACCAACCAGGTCAGAATGGGACAGTGGACGAGAAAGGACCCTGAGATTTTATAAGAAGTTCTCCTAAGTGATTCTAAGAGTCAACGAGGACTGAAGACAAGGGATCTCATGGACCCCTTTCATTTCACAAGTGACAAACAGGAAGTTCAGAGAGAGAGAGAGAGAGAGTGATGGGCCCAACTTCACCCAGCTCTTCAAGGCTAGGCATTAGTCGTTGGGCGGCTTTGTTGATACCCACCTGGTTCCCCAGCACTCTCCCGTGTTCTTTGATTCCCACCATCTCCTCCCCTCCACCACCCACCACTCCCTCTACTCCAACTTGCCTACAGCTCTCCGCCTTAGTCATCAACACCTCATCTCTGCAGTGACCATGACGGCCACACAATTAACACTGACCAGGGCTTTCTTCAGGTGGGTGTCTGGCCATGCCTTTCTTTGGCAATTCTTTGGATTCTTATTTACACAGACCTATCATTATCATCTTCCTTTAACTTATAAATTCAGAAAACCAAATAGCTTGCCCAAGACTCCACAAGTATCCCAGCCAGAATTTGATCCTTGGATCACCCACATCCTGAACCCATACTTTCAACTATAAGGCTATCTCAGGTGTGGTCTATCCCACGCATGGCTCCTAACGACTAAGGCAAGCCCCCGAGATGGTTCTAAGGGAAAAAGGTGATTTGTAATATGGTTTTGAACTGCTCAGATATAAGATCCTAAAACTTGGTCATCCTCAAAAGTTTTCTGTTAAAAAAAAATATTTCCTGCTGATGTTCACACTCCATGGTGCAGATGCCCCGCCCCCTGCTCTCACCACCAGTAAGAGTGTGTCCACACTCCCTGCACATGGACTGCTGATCATGTGACACCTTGAAGAAAATCTGAGCTTTTCTAACAGGGGTCTCCCATTTAAGTATATTTGCAAATGAAAAAGACAGGGACATGCTGCCCATTATTTCTATGCTTGAGACTTTGTAATTTGAGGAGGAAAAAATGAAAACTACCCAAGTCTAAGCAAATAGAAATACTGTTTTACTTCCATACCTCCCCCGTTTCTTTTATATTTTCAATTGTAGTAAAAAATAAATAACACACAGTTTATCAGTTGCTGGGACTATAGAAGTGCACTACCAAGTTTGGATGGCTTTTATTTCTTTGTTTTTGTGGTTCTGGGATGGAACCCA